ATCATAACACAATAAACAAGTCATATGACTCAAATGAGTCACTGTTAGGAATACCAGAACCCGATACCTAGGAACCATCCTAAGTAGGGTAACCCCACTCGGAATTGAAATCTCTGGTCTCCAACACCCCCCTTCGGCTCCCTTACGGGGCCCACGCGTCATCATATATATTAGTCTCAGTTGCGTCCTGTGACTATATTACCACAGAATTGAAGGTGTTAGAATAATATTATATATGTCGTTGCCGTCTGTCCAACCGGTTCCTGTTCACAGGATATATGAGAGGGGACCTTCGGCTAGGCCTGGGAAGTGGAACAGAGTAATTCTGTCAACTACTCGGAGGGTTACTTGGCTTCAAAGACATGACACCTTTGGTATGGGCCATAAGTAACGGGACGATTTCCCACAAAGAGATGGTATCAAATGGTAAAGGATCTCTACTAGAGACCAATATATTTACATCTGCCAGAAGAGTCTAGAACTCCAAAAGACACTACCAAAGAAGCCAACGAAATTCACGGAGTGTTGCAACTGGGTTTCAGAACACGTTATAGCCATGAGGTGATTCTCAATACTACAATAGTTACTGAAACCTACTACCCAGAGAGCAACCAAGAGTTGCCGACCGAGGGATTAATTACCAGCCTAGTGGAGTGGCTTCCTGTGAGTTAATAGGAAGTCATCCAAAGAAAATCTATCGGTTGAGTATGGAGTTACAAAGGATCAGAGTTAGACGACCTATGATGGTTGTAATGATGACCACCTTTGCAGATATAGCCGTGGATAAAACTGATCATTTTATCAATGGTGAAGACAATTGGAGCCAACTCAGGTCGACTTAAGAACTAGGCCATAAGTTTAAAGACTCTGCTAATCGGGATATTACTATTGGGGACAGCACACTTCCTAAGAAGAAATATCGTAATTACAGAAGAGGGTGTGATGGTTTTCAGGGTCTACTGGTATTCGCACCTTGGAAGAAAACTCGACGTCGCGAATTACGATTGAAGAAGCACATGGTTGTATGATAAACAGATGTAGTCCGCGAATACTCGGACACGGAATATAAATATCGCAGTACCTCCTAAGCTTTAGACATCATCAAACAACGGAGAAGAGATCTTAATAATATAATATTATTTTTACAATTCTACCCTACTTTACCTATTTTACTTCACTCATAGTAGTCATAAACGAAACGAGTAAAGTCCAAGCCTTCCTAGACAATCTCTGTCTACAAAAACGAATCTCGATTGGTCTAAGCAACCTTGAAGTCTATCAAGTTGCTTCCGCCTAACAGTCACATGTGTAAAACCCATGACCTCATAACGAAGTCATGTGCTAAATATAAATCATATACGCAAGGCATACCTGCAAGGCATACTTGCAAGGCATACTTGCAAGGCATATTCGCCAGGCACACTTCCTATAACTCATATTTAAGTCATGTGCGAAACTTATCAACCTATAATATCATATGACCCAAATGTGTCATATGCACAAAACCATAACATACCTATGACTCATAATTATGTGTCATGTGAAAACCTTTTCTTTTCCAAGCTACATTTGTGACAGGACTCCAACATCCCCCTCCGGCCTTCTTATGGGGCCTGCATGTCATCCTACATATCAATCTCAGTTGTGTCTTATAACTATAATACTACAGAATTGAAAGTGTCAGAATAACACTGTATATATTGCCGCCATCTATCTGACACAATCCTGTTTGCAGGATATATTAGAGGAGACCTTCGGCTAGGTCTAGGAAGTGGAGTGGAGTAAATCCGTCAACTATCCAGACAGCTACTAGGCTTCAAAGATATAATATCTTTGGTACAGACTGTAGGTAATGGGACGTTTTCGCATGAAGAGATGATATCGACTGGTAAAGGATCTCAATAAGAGACCAATACATTTGCATCCACCCTACAATAACCAGAAGAGTATAGAACTTCAAGGGACACTACTGTAGAAGCTAATAGACTTCACGGAGTGTTGCAACTAGGTTTCAAAACATATTGTAGCTACAAGAATGGCACCTAATGCTACAACAACAATTGAAACCCAGTTATCTAGAGCAACCAAGGGTTGCTGACTGAGGGAATATTTGTCAATCCAGTGGAATAGCTTTCTGCGAATTAGTAGGAAGTTCTTAAGAACATATTTATTGGTTAGATAAGGAGTTAGGAAGGTTTGAAGTCAGGCAACCTAAAAGGGTTGTAATCACGACTATCTTTACAGATATAACCTGCAGATGAAACTAATCATTTCATTAATAACAAAGACAATTGGAGCCAACTCAGTTTGACTTGAGAACTAGGCCACAAGTCTAAAGACTCTAATGATTGGATAACTACTATTTGGAACAGTATGGTTCCTAGTTAGTTATATTGTAATTGTCAAAAAGGGTGTGGTGATTTTCAGGGTCTTTAGGTATTCACACCTGTTAAGAATACCTGACGTTGTGAGATATAATCAGAGAAGTACATAGTTGTATAATAATTAGATGTAGTCCACGAATACTCAGATGCAGGATATAAATATCAAAGTAACCTTGAAGCTTTAGACATCATATATTAGTTTAGTTGGTATGATGTCACAAACGTGGCTTAGCGAGGAAAGGGTTTTCACGTGACACATGGTTATGAGTCACAGGTATGTTATTGTTTCACACATATGACCTATTCAGGTTATATGATTAGTTATGTGTGGGATTTGTGATGCTTTCGTTATGTGTGGGAGTTGTGATGCTTTCGCACATGGCTCAAGTATGAGTCATGGGACATGCGCATGACGAGTGTACCTTATGGGTAAGCCTTGCGCATATGATTTATGTTTCGCACATGACCTCATCATGATGTCATGGGTTTCGCGCATATGACTCAGTCGAGTCATATGACTTGTTTATTGGGTTATGATTGGTTTAGGAGTTTCGCACATGACCTCTCTATGAGGTCATGGGTTTTGAGCATGTGATCGCTTTGGTCATATGACTAGTTTGTTATGATTTAGTTTCGCACATGTGACCACTCTAGGTCACATGACTAAAGGCGGGAAGAACACTATATAAGGAGGCCGATGCGGCCAAGGAAGATAGGTTCTTCATGCTTTGTTCTAAGTACTTTTCCTACATATTACTTTAACAAATATAAAATACCTTTACGATCTTTATCTTTATTGCAACGTTATCGTTACGCCAAGGAACGACTCTTACGAAGAAGAGTTAGAGAAAGCTTACGATAGGCGGTCCCGATAGAAGACAAAGGTCTTGTACTATCGGTAAAGTAGGCAGAGGCCTAAAGCTATCGTAAGACAAAGAGAAGAAGAAGACGGGAAGAGAAGTATCGTTCCCCGTCGCCAAGCACTAACTATCCAAAGAGGGATCATTACATATGACTTATACATTGATTTGTAAGGTCAGGTGTTCAACTCCTACTGAGGTCAAACTTATTTCAGTAATTTATATACTTAATACTTTGACATAAGGAGTACCTTTAAGCTGATGAAAGCTCATCAAGCAATGGAGAAGAAACCTTAACAATATAATATTGTTTTTACAATTCTATCTTACTTTACCAAATTTAGTTCACTCTTAGTAGTCATAAACAAAACGAGTAAATTCAACCCTTCCTAGACTATTTCCGTCTACAGAAATGAATTTTAGTTGGCTCAGACAATTCTGAAGTCTATCCAATTGTTTCCACCTAACATTCTTACAAAGAGTGTGTTCTATGCCCGAAGCTCTATCCTTGGACTGATGAAATGCAAAGAAAAACAGGCATGGCTTTAACCTGCTTTGTAGAAGACAATGCTCCTGTCCATCAGACTGTACAACATGTTGATAAGAAGGGGCATCTTGAAAGAGATATTATTTTCTTTGACTGGCTATCTAAATCACCAGATTTAAACCAAATAGAACCACTCTAGGACTACAAGAAAGATGAAATATCAACCTGGAGGTTCATGGACACAAGACAGGAGACTGTCAACTCGGCAAAGGCAGCACTTGTAAGATCTTGGGAGGACTTACTACAGGAAGTTATCAATTAAAAGTATTCATCATTTCATGCAAAACTGCGACAGGTTGTTCTTCATCAGGGAGGGAATAATTTCAATGGTTAGAATTGTTATAGGGAAAAAATGACCTTCATGTTCAACTTTTATGTATAGTTAAATGATTAGGTATGGGTTGTTCTAATTGATTTGACCATCATTACTAGTTTTGGGTGCGAGACTTCAACTCGGCGGCGCGAGTAGTGCCAACTGTCTGTGCTTTTTGTGTGCCTTGGCATTCAGGTGTCCGGATACTAACGAAATTCGCTAGACTACGGTACCGGTAGTGTTGTTGGTACAGTACTTGTGTGATGAGAGTTATTAGCCTGTGGGCCCTGTTGCTTGACAACGTTGCCATCGCAACGAAAAGGTAACAACAATACAATGGGATTGTTTCACGCTCTCACCTGGGTACTGATGTTACGCAACCGACGCCCTAACGAGGTATGCTACTCCATAACAAACTCCCATAAACACCCTCGTGAGGCAACTACCCGCCTGTCAACTCTCTAACATTGCTATCCCTCCCCTCCCATTCCGCCATTACTCGTACTCGTTCTCCGCAACCCAGCCATCCTGGATTCGAATCAGAACCCTCCAATCTCGAAGAAGGCGGTGGATAGGACTTGGGTTCCTTTTCCTTGAATTTGTGTTGCGGCAGTTTCTCGATTCCTCCACGACACGCTCCGGCGTTCTTTTTAATCCTGGATTTATTCTCCTCCTTCCTTTCCCCTCTCCTTTCACCTAGACGGCCCTCCGCTCCCCTTATCGTCTCAAACACTGCTGCTGGTTCACCTCCGTCAACTCCGTCGAAATTGCCCCATGATCATTTTCGTTTGGGGACTATTCGAAGAGCATTCTCAATATCCTCACCTGCAACTACGTCTTCACCTTCCCACAGTCCTCCATCTGACTTCAGGACCTCTGAGTTAGACGCCGGAGAAATGATGCCCTCGATACCACAGCCTCATGTTATCGCGCACTTTCGTTCGCTGGTGTGGCAATCTCTAGACAACGATATGCTGCCGACAGCACTGTTTGCTGCCGAGAGGTTAAATGCTTATGACCCGAAAGGCGGTGACTCGGTTCATTTATTGGGCTTATGTTTATACCGGGATGGCCAATATCTAGCAGCGGAGTCATTAACAGAGAGCTGGGTCCGACATCTAGGCTGTGCATATATCTATGCCCAATGCTGCTTAAAGCTTGGAGATGGCAGAGAAAGCCAGGGTATAAATGCCTTGGAAACCTGTAGGCGGCTTTGGAACGGGACTAGCACATGGAGTGAGTTTCTTTTGTCTCGGTGCTTTTTGGTGTTGTCGGATTTAACAACCATTCTTCCTTCGTGGTTTTAGATCAGCATTCAGATACAGCCAGGCGCTCGATACCAGATGCTGCAACAGTACACTTTCTATTGGGCAGGTTATGGCACAACGCTGGTGATGTGAAAAAATCGGTGGATTCATATGTAGCAGCTCTTAAACTGAATCCATTTGCGTGGGAGGCGTTTACCGGTCTTTGCGACACAGGCATTTTATCCAGAAATTACCCCTTTGAGGGATCGTATGCTAACGATAGGCTAGGTGTAAACCTACGACCCAATGCCGTGTTTAAGCAATCGCAAGAAATGCTCGAGTCACTCAAGATGCCTTCATATCCTTCACAACCCTCAAATATACCCGCCACAATCCCAGAAGAGTCATCGGGTCTGAATGGTTTGCGAAATTCATCTGAAAATTTACCCAGTGATCCTTTTTCGTCCAATGGGGGGAGCAGTAGAGACCGCTCGGATTTATCCTACAACAATCATCCATCATTTTTTAACAGATTGAATGAAGGGGTGGGTAGTAGTTTGGAGGCGGAAACCCCAACATCGCAACCAACAGGGTCAAGTTCTCATGAATTATTTGGAGGAGCGAACGGTGTTAATGTTACCGACAAACCACCACCAGTTCGGAAGACCCGGGCGACTACCACTGAGATTACTACAAGGAAGCTTACAAGCCGAAGCACTCGTGAGGTCGGTAATGACGGTAAGCGGTCTGCAGCATCTTCTCAGGAGTCAGGACCTCAAGCACCCGCTAGAAGGAGTACAAGACTCACAAGCAAATTTACAAGCAAGTTGGGTGTTGGAACAGAGAGGGAAACTAGATTGGGAACAAAGGAGAGGGAACGGGAAGCCAAAAAAGCAAGGACTGTAGCCAATCGAAGCCGAAGTCTGCATCTAACGGGAACTTCTGCTTCTGCAAAAGAGCGGCAAAAGGAGAGAGAGCGGGAGAACAGTGAAGATATCAATGTAGGTGCTTCCGAGCCCAGCGAGTGTGGGAAATTTGCCTACTAACCGTTTTTTGTCGAATAGATGTCTGATGCTACATCAAAACCAACCTTTGCGCCGGGGCATCAGATTGATATAAAGAAGCAGGAAGCGCAGTTATTTATACTTGACCTATTCAAGAAAGCTGGTGCTGGGTATTTCAGTCTGAGCAGATTTCGATGCAAGGAAGCTCTTCATGCGTTAAACTCGCTACCCTTGAGTCAAAAGGATACCCCTTGGGCCCAAAGCCAGCTTGGAAGAGCATACTACGAAATGGCTAACTATATTGAGGTTTGTGGGACCTTTATATGGATATATAAATATTCGGCTAACAAGGTTCCTCCACAGGCTGAAAGATGCTTCTTAAGAGTACGCCATTTGAGCCCCGTTCGAACCCGGGACATGGAAGTATTTTCAACAATTCTCTGGCACCAGCGTAAGGAAGTAGATCTTTCTTACTTGGCGCATGAGTTGGTTGAGCTTGACCGACTTTCGCCAGAGGCTTGGTGTGCGCTTGGTAACTGCTTTTCTCTACAGCGAGATCATGACCAAGCTTTGAAATGCTTCAAAAGAGCAACACAACTTAATCCGAAATTGGCGTATGCCTTTACACTTCAAGGGCATGAACATGTGAGTAATGAGGAGTACGAGAAGGCTCTTGCTAGCTATCGAAGCGCGATCACCGCCGATAGTAGGCATTACAACGCATGGTACGGTCTTGGGAAAGTATTTGAGAAGATGGGTAAGTTCGACACTGCAGAGAAGCATTTCCGGACAGCATCGAAGATAAATCCTACGAATGCTGTTTTGGTGTGTTGTGTTGGGATGGTGATGGAAAAGAACAAGGATTTTAGGGGAGCATTGCACCAGTATAACATTGCCTGTGAAATGTCACCTACAAGCGCACTCTCTAGGTTCAAAAAGGCACGAACTTTGATGTTGCTCAAGAGCTACCAGGTAAGTTCTGGGTCGCTGGCACCAGAGGCGTTGGTGAGAGAGAATTCTGACCAGGGGATCATGAACTAACCTTATATAATGCTAAAGCCTGCTCTTAAAGAGCTACGGGTATTAAAAGATCTCGCGCCAGATGAAGCCAATGTCCATTACCTTCTGGGGAGATTGCATAAATTGCTCCATGACAAGAAAAGTGCCATTAAACATTTCACCATTGCCCTTAACCTAGATCCAAAGGTTAGTCTATTGCCTCTTCTAGACCTGTTGCTGTTACTGACGGTTATATAGGCCGGTCATTTAATAAAAGAAGCTATTGAGAACCTTGACGAGGACGAAGAAGACGAGTATTCGGGTGACGCGGAAGAAAACCGTTTTCTGGATCATTAATCGCTGCGAAAGGGTTGAAAGTGGCCTGGATGTGGAGGCTTGGGGCTTGATTCTGTGGAAATCGAATACTACGAAGTGATGATCAAAACAAAAAGGGAGGAGCGGACTGTATTGCATAGCCTTTTTCCGTGTCTTGTGAATGCATAGCTTTCTTTTATGCCTCTTTCTCTCCTTCGGTCTTGTTATTGGGGTTTTTCTTTCCTGCAAAGCGGTCTTTGGGGTGGGTTGGTTTTATTCTCATTTCTAAAGGGGTTCTTTTCTCATATATATATATACGGTTACAATTGCTACCAGGGTATGGATGGGATGCATGGAGTGGGCTCCTTTTTTCCTTTGTTTGTTACTACTATACACTTTTAGAGCTCTTTCTTCTCTTCGGAGAAGTTGTGCGTGTTATTGGCGGGGAACTGCAGGTGTACTCAAGGCAACCTCCCCCTTATCCGTTACCCCCATTAAACCTTTTTCCAGCCCTAGCCAGCTTGCTTTGTGTAGTGGTGGTGTATGATATTATTATTCAGTTGTTTTTCTGTCTTTCGTAACTTTTTGGGTTGGGCATGGTTTTATCCCCGCCAGGGCGCTGGGTATGATACATAATTGCGGCTATCTGAATTTGCGCACTCACAAATGATTATGATAAAATGGGGGGGTTTTTTGTTTTGATGACTAAGCATTTCTCCGGTTCTCACATGCTTCATCTTTCAGTTTGTTGGGGGGATACAACTCGGTGTCCCTGTGACGAAAGAGCCAGGGGATTTCCCCACCAAAATTTTCATTCCTTTTTTTTCTCTTTCTTCCGATTTTACTGATCATCTTTTGCTCGCCAAGACTGCCTGGTCGCTCACTTGACACTCAACAACCCTCTTCCTTCTCGTTCTCCCGATTGTACTGTACCCGTACAAAAGTGGATCACGACGGCAGCGGCACCCCCACGACGAAAAGTTTGCTCATGAGCCCGAGACAGCGACACATGGCCGTGATAGTTGACCCCCCAAGAACAGACTTATAGGCCCTACTTCCCTCCATCCACTATCCATCCATCTGTGATCCCTTTTCGTTACGAGGTACAGTAAACAGCAACAGATCGTCACCTAAATTACTCTACCCGAGTACACTTCGCACTTTCCTTACCTCCCTCCCGCCTAACCTTGCTCACCCCTTTCCCTTTCTCCGCCGCCCCGATAGAAGGTAATTATTATGGTCAACCTCCTCCTCGTCTTGTTATTCCCCATCGGTATAATTATGGCCTTGACGATCCTGGGCCGTTTCTTCAAGACCGGGCGATTCTACGCACGTATTCTATCCTGCTATTTCCTCCTGGTCACATGCGCAGCATACGGGGTCCTGGCGTCGGTAGCCCTCCGGTTAGTGGGAAAAGTCAGCATAGCACAATGGACCACTGCACGAGCGTTCAAGAATTTAGCCTGCCCGGTCATCGGGCTAGAATTCAGGGTGGAGAATGAGGGTGCATTAGGCACTCGACCGGCGGTGTTCGTTAGCAATCATCAGAGCGAGTTGGATATTGTTTTCTTGGGGAGGGTTTTTCCAAAACATTGCTCGGTTACGGCGAAGCGGAGTTTGAAGTATATTCCGTTTTTGGGATGGTTTAGTATGTGCTCTTCCGTTTTCCAATCTTGCTTCTGCTCCTTTCTCACCCGCTCGGGGGGTGGTTGATGTCGGGTTTCGGTGATGAGGTTTGGAAAAGGGTTAACATTGTGTGCTCCTTAGTGGCATTGAGTGGAACGGTGTTTATTGATAGGACGAATCGGAAATCAGCTATTGCGGCGTTTGACAGTGCGATTCGGGAGATCAAGGGGAATAAGCAGTCTGTTTGGATTTTCCCGGTATGCCACCGCACCTCCGCTGCCGCCCACTAATTTCTACATTGCCAAAGGACCTGTTGCCTAATAATGTGTAATTTTAGGAAGGCACTCGATCATACTTTTCCAAGCCGGAACTCCTACCATTCAAGAAGGGTGCTTTCCATCTAGCTATTCAAGCCGGCGTTCCTATTGTACCGGTTGTCGTCGCAAATTACTCCCATATCTTACACCTCCAAGAGAGAACCTTTGAGCCTGGTGTTATCAATGTTAAGGTTGGTCTTCTCAAACTGTTTGAGTAGGCGAGCAAGTGGGGTGAAGTGAAAGTACTGATTGGAGTAGGTCTTGGATCCAATTGATACCAAGGGCCTGACAACCGATGATGTGGACGCACTGGTCCTGAGTACAAGGGAGGATATGTTGAAGGAGCTGAAACTCGTCTCGGCCACTAGCGCAAAGGCAGAGAAGTCGCAATAGAGCTTCATGCTCATCCAAGCACAGCACATTTGGGGACTCCAGATAGCGAGTCACTCTCCTGAAAAGAACAAGGAAATCGTGTATAATGGCGCAAGCAATAGTATAGCATGGAGTTTCTTTCCTCTTTCTTTCTCCCTTCCATCCTGCATCCCTCCCCTTACCCCCCCCCCGCCAGCCCCTCATTTCTTCCAACTTGGGGATGGCCACCCTAGGGTAGACGTTTTCAACTAGACGTTCAGGTTTCATCGATATAAAGACTTGTCTCCATCTTATTCCATCCCGTCGCCCCCCCCCCTTTTCCTCCCCATCTATACCATACCCTCACCTCCATTACGAGAAGGTCTTCAATTTTTTTGGTCCCAAATTTTGTACAAATTGTATTGTTCTTACTAGTGGTAGCAGTATCATGCGAACAGCAGCGGGGAGGCGTTATCGTCGTTTTCTCAGTTACCATGTGTTTGCGGTTTTTTCTGTGTCGTGTGTAACGTGACGGATTACAAGTTAGCACAATATGCCGGCACGATTGTGATGATGTGGCGAGTGAGGCGGAGTGATGCGGGTGAGAAATTGTGATTCTAGTTACCGGTATGGTACTTGCAATGGTGGGCCCAGGTGGGGTGTCCCTGGGTGAATGGGAATGGTGGTGGTGATTAAATTATGATGTAGGTTGAGAACCTAGCTGTTGGGACGCGAGCCCCTCTGTTCCGAGCAGGGGGCAACGGGTGCTCGAGTATTACCGGTATTGTCACCGGTTCAACTTGGAATGGGACGCAAGTCTGGTACCGGTGCTCACGGGAGAGCTCAATCAAATACCGGCATACAGCCACGAGAGAGAAGGTTTGTAAGTGACAGGTTCAACTTGATTTCTTTGATAACCTCGCTTCAATTTTTTAGATCTACCGGTACTGAACTCGAGTATGCTACCATATTATGATCCTTTCTTGAGTGACAGTATCATACTGTACTCGAGTATCATACATCCCGAGCAATTTGTGGAAGCACCCCCCCCCGACCGTGCTCCGGAGCCCCCGCGTAACTTACCCCTCTATTTCCCTCTAATTTCAGAAGTATCCAGACATCTTTATGGCAAGGGAGCGCAAACCCCCGGCGCCAAGGTGTCGAGATATCTGAAACTCGCGGGTACAGTATTAGACTGCATATTCCCGTCACAAACACACTCCATAGATACAGATAATACGATAACCCCACCTCAAGCAATATTGATGATGAAAAGGGCGTTCGTTCCTCATTTTTATCAAACATTTTGGCAAAAGCGATGTGATATGTCTGCCCGAGAGGCATAATAATATCACTCTCAATGAATCCTCTCGTCCCTGACGCACGTTTGAATGAGAGAAGGGGGGCTCACATCAGCAGCAACTCGAGCAAGCGGAAGGAAGTGGGGTTGGAGTTGTGTAAGCATCGCTCAGCTCAGCTCGCTCTGCCCTTTATGATATCTTGGATTGGTCGGTTGGTTTAGTCTAGCTCTGCGCTGCGTTGTGGAATGGACTGGGTGGCATCATAGTATCATAGGATGTTGGTGCATCATAGTGCCGGCGGTGGGTCAGAATGTTTTCCGTTTCAATTTTTTATGACTGACGAGCGGTTTTAGCCCGTGTGATATGTGCCGCTGGGGATATGAGCACAGTATCATAGTCTTGTGCTTTTATACCAGGAACTGGAGTAGGGTAGTGCAAGGTGCTGTCCTACAAGCTCTTATAAAAAGTTGCTTCACTTTCTACGATAGTCTGGTCGAGGGGAAAGATGGATTTGGATGTTTGGATGCTACCGGTATATCATAAATTTTCTAATACGATAGAAGCTCATTTTTCACGAAAAATGCCCCGATTTTAAGCAACCTACAACTCGCCCAGAAACACATACCGGTAATTGATCAGATAAGTACAGTACAAGTATGTGCTGTACCATGGGCTTGTACGGTATTCACGGTACCGGCACTTGTTGCAAAGTATCATACCTCTTGTATGGGAAACCCATGCAAAATTCGAGGCATCCTTTTCCTCACTTATCCGTCCTTCTGATATTGTATCCTCAAAACCCTATTGGCAGAACTTGCTGTCATAAAATCACGATCCCTAGATGTTTCTTCTAGAGGGGCTCAGTTGATCTCAATGCTTTTTTATCATAGTGACGAGGTGGAAATTTTTTGGCTCGTTTCTAGTAGCGGGATGTGAGGGGTTCAGACGAACTGTGCCGCCAGGATGATGAGTAAACCAGAATTGTGCTTAATTGTACCACATACTCGCAGACATTCCCTTGAATGGCCATCAAACCGGAATAATTATTGGGGGCGTTGGTGTTTTGTCCCTCCTGGTGTCTGTCGTATTTTTCGTTGGCCTAACACGAGGGGTGGGTTCGGGACGTGTGGTCTAGTTGTTCCGGTTTGTACGATAAGATATCGGTATCGTTTTGGTAGGCATGCCAGAAAGTGTGCTATTACCCGGGTAAATATCGGTAGATGGCTAAAACTCTGGGATACACAGAGGCTTGCGGTACAAGTATGATGCCAAAGACAATTTTGTGATATCGTCTGAAGATCACCTCGATGAGGTTAGGTTCAACACTGAGCATTTTGCGGACTGTTCTGCGTGGAACTCAATTTATTCAGGGATCCCCACCAAAAAATTTTTAACCCTACTCGAGTACTCGTACAGTACGGTAGTTAGTCCGGGCGGGGTAGGTTTGAATATGGTTGCCAAAGGTTGTCTCCCCAACCCTTTCGTCCGCCGTGGAAAGTCTATAAACCCTCGACATCCCTTTTCACTGCTGCACCATCTCTCTTCCCTTTAACAAACACTTCGTGGCGGAAAGGGCCCCCCGTAGACCGGGCGGTCAGCACCCGTGTCGATAGTTACAACTTATCCACAATTTAACGAATAGTCACAACAATATTGTCAATGTGAAAAAAATGATGACAGGTGAGCGCGGTCGCGGGTTCTGGAGTGGCTATCACCACTGGAGCCTTGGAACAGACAGCTTACTTCACACCGGCCCAGGGGTTGGGAAAACGTATCTCATGTGGGTAATGGGTTCCCTGAGCAAAGATAAAAAAATTACTGACGGCCGGTGACATTAATTAGCCCGCTGATCGATAGCCTGTGCGATCAAGCTGATGGAAAAGATATCGCTGTCGCGAGGCTCTACTGTGACTTCCTTGCCCAGCAGGAGCAGACAATCGTAAATATGCTGGGCGCCTTCCTGAAGCAGCTAGTAGGCAGAGGAGAAAGGGCGGATATCATGAGAATTATTCCCGAAACGATCTCGGAAATGTGAGTATCAACTTGATCACCCAACTTTGTCCAGCCTAAGGGTGATTATATATTTACTGTGAGGCGTGTGCAGATTTCTACTCGTTTCCCTCAATATCGATGCAATCCTGAGAGAAATGGAGATCCGTCTAAGGAGAAGAGAATCTAACCGAGTGACACAATCAATCCAGACCCGGAATGAAGGTTCTGATGTGGGTATCGCGTTCGGAACGACCGTTGCAGGCCAATGAACTGTGTCATGCCTTGGGAGTAGAGGGGGGATCTACAGACCTAAATAGCCTCGTAACGGTTGAAGCGTCCTCATCCACCGTCCGACTTGTTCACTTCACTCTGCAAGAGTATCTATCCACGGTCTCACCGCCCCGACGTGTTTCGTAACCCTTGCTCGATGATTGCCGAAGTCTGCTTGACCTACCTCAACTTTCAACGGGTCAGGAACCTTTCGCCCACTCTTGATCGGGCCCCGGCAAACCCCCTTGATCGAATATGCTTCCTGTTATTAAGCAACACATGCTAGAAGAGATATCACAGAGAATGTGAAACCGCTTCCGCACTGAAACTTCTCGATGGATCTGATCCCCGAGACCTCTCTTGTTGCACAAAGAATCCTGGCCAGACCGACCATTCGGTTGGCGTCATAGACTTACACGGCTCCACGGCGGAGCGTTCCTTGAGGTTGTACCGACAATTGTTGCTCTGTTAGAGATGAAGGAGTGGATTTCCAATGCATGATAGTGCAGGGATCTTATGGGCCGCTGGATGAGATAAGTGGACATCTCCGGCCGAGCAGCACTTTCATGGGTTGCCGAGAACGGGCATGTCGGGCCACTCTCATATGCCTAATGAACCCTCGACAGGAAGGACAGCGGTCGATTATTGCTTCACCACCGCGCCCCTTATCCGCTCACCTCTTTCTTTTGTTTGACATTTTACCCATGTCAATTAATCTTTCTGCTTCTGCCAATTACATCATGTACTATCATTCTCCTTTTCACCCCTTCACCCCCTGCTTCCGCTCCCTATTCTTCGTCTTTTTTATATATCCATCTACAATGTTTTTCCACTCTTACCACCTCAAACCCTTTTCTCTTTATATTTTCTATAATTTTGTTACAAAGTTATTACGCAGGAACATGTTGTACTAGTCAAGTAGTGTGAATGCCTCGAACAATTTTACTCAACTTGAGACCTCCGTTCCGATATCCTATTGGGACAATCCAATATCAGTTGTTCAGCCGAAGAATATCATTGAACGGTCAACTAGCGTAGTTAGTCAAAGTGTGCCGCTATTATAGCAATTCCATTTCGACCTATGTTACCCGCTCGCTCGCTTCCTTTCACAAAATTGCACACTCTCATCCCGATCCCCATCAACAAAAGCCCCTCCCTCCCCTTCGTTCTCCTCGTATCACTCCTTCTACAACACCAGCGCCCCCACTTTCTGAAGGTAAGTGAAGGCCACTCACTACCAAAATTACTCTGTCACGCTATGAGAAATACCCAATGCAATACCCTCAGAATCCCCCGGAGGCTTGCTGGAGTACAAACAAAGGTTTCCATATTATGCCATCTTCCTTGGCGACGGCTTTCACAATGGTTTTTACCCAAGGTATCACTCGTTGTTGTCGCTGCCACATATTTCGGGGAATTCTTTTACTTCTACATTTCCCATAGGTAGGTAGGCAGGTTGCAGGTACTCGGCTCGTGCTGGCTGAGACTTTACCCTCGTAATATTGTCAAGCTTGGATATAGAAGCGTTCGCGCTCATGTAGGGGAGGAGGATTATATATGTCTGTTGGTTTACGTGTGTATCGTATCTCCAAGTTTCTGTGTTAATTTCCGGCTTGAAGTGGCCCGCGGCATCGCCGGGACGGACGGGAACGAATCGTTGGATATCATACATACGCAGAATAGTGGTAGTTTAGGTATGGCAACTGTAGGTCTTTATTTATTTATATAAAAGTCCCCGGGTACATCAAGAGGGATGGATATGCACCATACCACCACCAAGCACCGAAAGCACTTCTAAAGCGTATATACATACTGACCAAAGTTCGATCGAGGAATCTTAATGAGGGCCCCTGAACCTCCCACGGGGCGGGCAGGATTCCCTCCAACCCGCCTGATTCCTCAATAATGATAAACTCATCGTGAGCTGAAGATCGAATTAAAAAACTCCCGGAGAAAAGAAGCCATATTTCGTGATAGTACTGTACAGTACAGTGCACGTAACGGTTTCGGCGGCATTTGATCGTTTGTTGTGGAATTTAGGGGGGGAATGATGTTTTCTCGTAGGTTTTGCCAAACATGACAGGAAGGTATCATAGCATGATAGTATTCAATTGCAGATCATTTCTCGCTCGACGAAAGGGAATATAATTGTCTATCACAAGGAGCGCGTCGGGGTCTTGGACTCCTTGAATTGGAAACTTTCGGGATCAGTGCACTTTTTAATTACAAGATGCTTGTCCTCCCCTTCGGGGCCTTCGTTGGTCCTACGGTGGGAGGTGAAGCCATATTACTGTATCATAGAATAGGATAAGATTATCACAATTTAGGGCTGGCTGTATACAATCTCGAGAAGAACCCGAAACAGTGTGCGGTCGGTTAGTTGTCAGTTCTGAGGATGGGGAACGTTCCAGGGGTCCGGGGGATGATATGAATATCATATACGGGCACCCCAACAAGCACGCGGCGAGGGAGCCAGTGCGTATTCAGACCAGCGCACGGGAGAGATAAAGATGCGGGCAAGTCAACCGGATACTGCGGACTCTGCGAGCAAAAGTGGATTGGCAGTTCGCCCGTTAAATATCCTACTTCACGATGGCCCGCAGCCTCGGCGGATATCTTTGGTATTAACAAGGTCATAATCGAATGGTAATACAAGTTACCGCGTTCGACCTGCGATAGCACTCGCTCAGGGAGTCGTGCATACCAGCGTCGCAAGTATCACATCTCAAAATCAATGCTTTGTTCGAGTGATTATTCATGAACTACTGGGATAATCCACACATTTCCCATATAAAAAAAATAAAACACTTTTTGTTATTCGAGATTAGCATTGCGATACCGGTATACGAAGGGTTCGTTGTTTCTGCTGGTGGGCGTGGCTGTATGATATGTTTTGAGACGGATCTTCATGGCCTATGTGGCTAGCTAGTATCATACTGAATATCATAGCGTTGAGGTTGTCTTTCAGGCATGGTTTTTTTTCTTCGCATCCTTGGACTCGTAATGGCAGACGTGGATATATTCGCGATCATGTTGGGGCTGTTTATTCATCATGAACTCCGTGATTTCCTGCCTTCTCTGGGAAAGACCACGAAGGTTCACCCTAAAATCTCTTTCTATATCTTCGGGTTCTTCATTACTCTACTCATCGAGAATCGAGAGATAAACCGTTGTTATCACTCGAAGTATCATACAGGTCTGACAGCACTTATGCTGCGGCTAGCTATAGAAACATTTAACCAGCTGTTGAAAGGGCAACTGACATTGCACCGGGAGTGAATATTTGTAGGATTTG